GCACAACAGTCTGGGGTAATACCCAGCTGAGAAGGGATGAGGGGAAACAGAGCACGTAACGACAACTATGCAGTGTAGAATAAAGCAAGGAAGTAGTCAAACCAATATATATATATACATATGTAAATATGCTTGTGCCAAGGAGATGAGAGGAGTCAGTCGAGTGAAAGGATATGCGAATGATTACGAGTGTTAAAGAAAACGGTCACATAGCTTCTAGCTTCTCCTCTGCACCGATGGACCGGCCATTCCCGAATTACACGTGGGGCTAGTGCAGGTGCGCAGAACTCTTGCTGAGTTCAACGCCACCAAGTTCGCAAGACCAGATGGCATCCACCCAGCCTTAGCTAAACACATAGATGAGGTTCGAGGGGTCCAACTATGCCACCTATTCAACAAAACTCTAGAACAGGGCAGGATACCACAGGACTGGAAAACAGCAACTGTGGTCGCCTACCGTCCAGTTAGTCTCACAAGCATCTTGTGCAAAGCGCTTGAGAGAATTATCAGAACCCACTTATGCGAATACCTCACTCAGCACCGGTTGCTGATTGCGGCAGATGATGGGTTTCTGAAGGGGAATCCTGTCTGAACAATCTGTTGCACTTCTTAGATGAAGTCACAGCGAGATTAGACGAGGGTAATCAAGTGAAAGCATGCTATCTGGACTTTAGCAAAGCATCTGATTCAGTATGTCATCGTTTACTTTTGGCCAAGATACATGCTTTATGGATAAGGGGTAACATCCACAAGTGGCTAATAGCTTTCCTGACCGATAGGACCTTCGTGGTTTGGGTCAGAGAAGCGAACTCGTCAATGGAATATATTGCCAGTGGTGTTCCTCAGGGATCAGTTCTCGGTCCACTCTTATTCTTGCTCTACGTTATTGATCTGCCTGAACGCCTAGACTCGCCTAGCTATATATTCGCGGATGACGTCAAGTTGATAGGATCAAATGGGTGAGATGAATTAAGGAGGGACATAGGAGAAGTGATCGAGTGATCAAGTACGTGGGATTTACCTCTCAACGCAGGAAAGAGTCATGTCTTGACCACTGGAGACGAGGGGCTGATAGTGGAGAATAGTCATGGCGGTCTTTCACCAGGAACGACACAGAAAGCTAGAGATTTAGGAATTACAGTGACATCAGAATACAAAGGGCAGAACAGTGTGCCGCAGCGGCTCACCGTGCCCGTCGAGAGCTTCTTAGATTGAGGTCGGCACTAACATGTAGGAAACTGGAGGTATTCGTATCTCTATACAAGTCCATTGTTCGACCGCATTTGGAGTATTGTATACAAGCCAGGGCTCTCTTCTTCCAAAAGGACGCCGCATGTCTCGAGGGGATCCAACGATTAGCCACAATGATGATCGAAGGACAGCGAGGGAAGTCGTATAAGCAGAGAATGCAGGACCTTTGGCTCTTCTCCTTGGAGAGAAAGAGATTCAGAGGTGACTTGATAGAGACATTCAAAATTATGAATGGCCTATCAGGGACGGATCAAGCAGTGTTCCTCGGGAGGAGAGAAAGCAATACTAGGGGGCACAGGCACAAGCTGAAGAAAGTACGCACGAGACTAGCGGTGCGTTCGAAATTCTTCAGCAACAGGGTAGTCTACTCATGAAATAAGCTACCACAAGAGCTGGTGAAGCTGAGGAGCGTACATGCTTTCAAGAAGGAGCTTGATAAACGCTGGTTGAACTTATTTTCTGAAGTAGATGCATAGTTTAAGGTTTGGTAGAAGTTATAGGTCTTTCCATTTGCTAACCACCCCAAATAGGGGAGCGCTTCGAAATGTGACCTGACCTTGCGGTACGTTAGCGCGCGGTTTGAATTTCCACTGTGCTCTATCTCGTTCACACTTTTTGTCCGGTACTAGTAAAATATCAGTAGATATTTCACTAAAATTACTCTTGAAGTAGTTTTACGCTTACCAGTGTCGTGCGTGATCTGTCAAAGATCACAACCTTTTTACTAGGCCATTTTTCTTTGAGCACTTTGGTGGTTCTCAGGCCTAAAGCATTTTATTTTTGAATTTGGCAAAGCGTATTTTTCACCTTTTTGGTATTACCTGTGTCTACTTTTCCATAGTTAGAGGACTGTGTATTTAGACATTTCTTGATTAACTTGGAATGGCACAATTGAAAGGTTCCAACGCGTGTAGGGTCAACTGTTATGCAGAGTGCGTCGCCGAGGTGATTCAGTGCGACGGCTGTGGCGTGTGGAAACACCAGCGATGCTCTCAAATGAGCAAAAAGGATTATCAGCTCCACATAAAGCACAAGTCCTTTAAGTGGGTGTGCAAACACTACTCAACACTAGCCGAGGAGTTCAGAAGAATCCTGAAGGCACCGCTGGCTCCCCTTAATAAGGATAACAAAGAGAAACCGGAATGAATTACTTTTGCGTCATCCCTAAATAAAAGTGCAGAAGTAAGAAAAGCAGAAAACCGAAACAAGGAAGTTGGAAAACAGACTATGAGGCCTCTACAGGCTAGGAAGTCTGTAGTTAGACGTGAAGGACAGCCGAACTACCGGGAAATGGTACAACGGATCGAGCAGTTAGAGAGAGAACTTAAGCTGCTGAAAAAGAGCAGCGAAGTGTCGCTGGGAAGAACTAGGAACTTGCTCCTGCATAATTGCGCGGAGCCAGTTATTAACATGACGAAGCCGAGGCGAGAAGCCGAGCATCGCCATGTGCAAAACATTTTTAGGCTGGCAGGGTTGCTCCCAACACCCCATACATCAAGTGCCACAGAATTGGACTGTGGAAAGAGGAAAGCTTACGTGGTCCAAGGCCTCTCTTAGTGGTGTTTCCAAACACTAACATAAGAGATCTGCTACTATCACGAGCCTCAAGGATCGAGGATATTACTCAGGGACGTATAATAATCATCCCTTATAGACCGATCAAGGTGATGCACCCAGTTCGAAGGGGGAATAACGTAAGCGGCCACCTAACCAAAGACTTAGTTCTTTGCGTACCAAGGACTGGAGAGCCTTTGAGCGGATCCGCACCAAATGCACCAAAGAATGTACCACATAGAGGAAAGGCCACACAAAAGACGGCTAAAGAGGGCAATGCTGTGGCCCGCAAGGCGAGGTCAAACCCGCCACAAACACAGGAAATAGCACCGCAACCAAAGAAATTGGTTGCAGCTACAAGTCCGGAGAAGAAAACCACGGTGAGCTGTGAGAAACCAGCCACATGTGAGACAATAGTAGCGAAATCCCCAATAGCTGCTCATTCTCCAGCTCTCCCATTACAACGGAGATCAAATACTCCAAAAGCGAAGGAGGATGTATTGTACCTCAACCAATTCGCACTTGAGTGACGCGTAGACGAACAGACACGAATCCCGTATTAAAAACACAATTGATTCGCAAACTTCTACGGTACTGAATTACCGAAATCTTGCAGGGCACGTTTGTCTAACCGCATCAACCAGTCGCTCAACTCCTTTTGTGCACCCACGAAATTGGACCCGTTGTCGGAGAACANCTCTGCCAGGCCATAAGAACGGAGTCGGTCGACATACTGTGCACGGTCTCTAAATGCAAAGCCCGTGACTGCAGGCAGGTCATCAGGCATCCGTATAGTTTCTCCATCAACGTCTTTTGTTTCACCCATAGTGGCCCGAAGTAATCCATCCCAGTTTCGGCGAAGGGCCACCAACCTGGTCGTACTCGGGAACTTGGTAACGAGGCCATCAATTGTTTCTCGAATGTAGCATTCTGGCCGACGAAACTCGGAACTTGGTAACGAGGCCATCAATTGTTTGCTGAATATGGCATTCTGCCGACGACAAAAGAGACAATTGCCTACCATGCGCTTCACCGTAGCTCTCCCTTTCACTATCCAGAACCGACGGCGAAT